CACACATTTCTCATGGTTTCTGAGTGGGATTGATTTTTTTTCTTTAAAAAGTGCTGCTAAACCCATTTTAAGATTATCTATCAGTTTTACGTGTTTGCTGCCTCAGAACTGTAAAAAATTGAAATCATGTGATATAGTTGGATCAGGTTCTTGCAGGCTGAACATACCAGTTCAAGAACTGCATATAGCCATGGGTACAGTTTCTTAAATCGTATTTTGGGAACAGCCTACCTTTAAGAATAGGTTATGTGTCATTTTATCTCAGTAGATAAAAGGTACTGGAGGCATGAGTTTTTAGCAAAGGAACCTTTGTCTTTCTTTCTGTGCCCATAGCTGTTCAACAGGGATAAAGAGGGAGAAAGGTTTTTTAATCATTTTTCCTTTGTGATTAAAGTTCTCATCAGCAGCTGCTTTCTTCATGTCTATTGGTGTGTGTGGAAAGCAACACAGATGAAGTGGGATATAAAAAGAGCTAAGGGGGTTAAGTTCTTCTTTTCAACATTTCAGTTTATGCTATGCCTTTCCTCTGTACAATGCACACAAACACACACAAAATATGGGCTATCAAATCTGAGCTATCTGACTAAATGGGAACAAGGAAGTTTGTTTTCCATACCTCATTTCTATCACCAATTTTTGATGGTCAGATCTGGTAACCCTAACAACATATCCACTACCAGAAGAAAAAATAACATTCAGTGTGGTGTTGGGTTTAATTCAGTCTCTATTTTTTAAAAGAAGGAGCCTGCAGTATATATGAAAAGGGAGTGGATACAGCTATTTAAGGGTTTTTTCCTTTCCTTTCCTTTCTTTTTAAAAGAAAGGCAAGATTATTACCCATGTTGATTCATTTTTTACTGGCTTCTATAGATTTCTTATCTAGGGAATATTTTTCAGCATAACATGTACATAAGGGGAACACATACACACACACACACACACACATACACACAAGCAATATGCTTAACTGTTTATGAAGCAAATTTTAATTCTGAATGCTATACTTAACAGCTGAAATGAAAATTATTGTAGGAATATAATGATCAAAGAAAAGGCATTGTCTCCTATTTTATTTCTGCCAGAATGCCTTCTGATAAAACAATGTATTTGAGTTTTTGTTCAGCCTTCAATCACAGTGGCTACCTTTGTGTTCAATTGTCAATTGATCCGTAAGGTGCTTTTTTTTTTTTTTTTAAAAAAAAATACAAATAATTGTCTTTGAACCCAGCACATAATTAGGACATGTAAGACTTGCAAGCATTTCACCAATATTAGCTCAATAATTCTAACCACATCTCTGCATGGCAGGCTAGTATTATTGCTGTATTTCATTTAAATCTCATGACTCCTTTTGTCCTGGTTTCCATTATCTGGTCCATATTATTCTTATAGAAATCCATTGAAGTAAGTTAGGTAGCAAGAGAGTAAATATCCCAAACTGTTGTATTGGCTTTCAGGGATGAGGGGGAGATTTGGATCTTGATCTGTCCTATACCAACCTCACTTCAGAGATTTTTTTGGAGTGGTGGGGGCAGTTACTGTATGTAAGAGAAGTGAGAAAGATGCAGTGTAGAATTCTGAGATGTATTCTAGTAAAATTGTAACTATGCTTTAGCATTAACAAAACTTATGACTAATGTCACATTTCACCATCAACAATAGTTTATTTGGTTTACTGAAGAAACCACAATTGGCTGACATGAACTTACTAAGCATAAACCAAGCAAATCAAATTATAACTTAGTATAAGGATGAGACTCTTTGAATGTGGCCATTTCCTTTCAGAAATGCTCTTCAAACCATTATTTACATTTAAAAAATGCATAAATGGAGTAAAAAAAATAATTTTATTTAATTAAGGAAATTTAGGTTTTATCTTGCTCTTATTTATCAATTTAATGCAGTGTAGTAACTACAAATGGATCCTGGACCACTCTGACCCTTATCTCCAAATGAATATATTCACGACTCAGTGTTTTGTGAGGCTTAAACCAGGCATAAGTGTGTATGTGTGTGTGTGTATAGTATATTTCTATATAAATAAATGTGAATAATTTTACAATAAGTGCAGGGATAGCTCATCTGATTAATTAATCACTTTATTTGCTATTATACTGCTCAAACTTTTCACAGAGAAAGAACAGACATAATTGCAATAATCTAACCCTAATCTAAATTGTAATAATATTCCAAACCTAATCTAAATATACAGAGAGTAACAGAAGTCAAGGCATAGGCCAATCAAAATGTTTTATTGTTTAAAAAATAGGGAAAGTTTTTTTTTTAAAGTGCAACCAATTTGAACAGTTAATGTACAGTAGTTTATAGAATAAATATTCAGGCAAACAAGCTAACAGTTTACAACAGCCTAATCAAGGAACCACCAAGACCACTCCCACAAATACTGACAGGGCCAGCCACTGGTATGTAAAATGAGAATAAACTCACTCCATACTAGCACTGATGATGTTACCTAGTTTGGTAAGGAAATGCCTGTAAGAAAACAAAGAAGCTCAGAGAGGACTCCACAGTTTATTGACCAAATTGACTAGGGGGCATTATTTTAGGTATGTAAGTAGTCCTTGACTTAAAACCACAATTAGGACCAGAATTTCCATTATTAAGCATTACTGACTTTTTTCTCTTACTCCTGCTCTTGATATTCAACTACCTCTTTGTTTTTATATTCCTATTAACTATCCAATATATTCAAGGTAAAGTTCCCATGGATCTAGGACTCATCACATCAGTTAGAAGAATTAATCAGTGGAGCAACCAGAAGCGGTGAATGCTCCAACACTGGAAGTTTTTAAGAAGAGACTGGACAACCATTTGTCTGAAATGGTATAAGGTTTCCTGCCTGAGCAGGGGGTTGGACTAGATGACCTCCAAAGTCCCTTCCAACTTTATTATTGTTACTGTTATTATTATTATTGTTATTACATATAGCTGCCTGCAACTGCCTTCTCTTTCCCACCTATTGTGCAATGAAATACATGTAGACACAAATATCAGATAGGCTTCTCTGTTAGCCAATGCACTTTCCTGGCCTGTCTGCTCAATAGGAATTGGGCTATCTGTAATGACAATTCGACCACAACAAGGTCCGTAGCCCAGTTAAGGGATATTTCACTGTTTATGTGGGAAATGGACTTCACTTTCTTAGCAGTAGACCAATTTCTGTTAAAGGAATCTGTCTCAAATTTTCACATATAATTTATGTAGGAGTAGGTTACATAGTAGGATGTGCCATAATTTTTGAACTAAGTCACACTTTGCCATTAAATTGCACAAATGTAGGACTGAAGCTTCTGGGCTGTTGCCCACCTACCTTGGACCACAAATGTATCATGGGTCAGGTGAACTGCCATTTTTTTTATAGGTAAGGAATTGGTGCAGCTAGATGGCAGCACCTAGCTGACTCTCTAAAAAGTTAAACAGGAATACAATTAGTATTTGGATGGGAGATCACCAGAAATAGATAAGAAGAAAGAAAGATATAGGTAGTCCTTGCTTAATGATCATTTGTTTATGACCATTCAAAATTATGACAAAATGGGTGCTTTACAACCTGTAATGGACCCCAGCCATCATAAATGGTCATGTGCCCCGTGATCACATGACTCCTATTTGCAATAGCCTTTGCCAGTTTCTGGTTTTGAAATGAATGGAGTCACTCACTTAACACTGTAGCATTTGCTAATAACACTACAAAAAAGACCAGAAAATCACTTCTGATCTCACGGATACTTCAACTTATGACTTCAGTGACTTACCACTATAGTTCCAGGCTCAAATACTGTCGTAAATAAAGGCTTCCCTGTATCCTGGAAGAAGGCAATACTAAACTGCTTTAGCATTATTGCCAAAAATAACTAGATGGATGTGTCTATGGAACCTGTAGCTTGATAGTCTTGTCATATGGTCTTGGAAGATTTTACAATGGAGCGAGAAATTGTTATATGAAGGAAAGCTAAAATGTAAATTCACATACCAGAAATTATTCAAGAATTGCTAATGCACTCCCAGTAATCAGCTGTCCTTATGCTACTTTCTCTTATTGTTATGTCCTCTCCCTCCATGTATATTGTATTAGACAACCTGTGACCTCTTGACTCATCATTTCAGAGATCCTTTCTAAGCAAATTCTTCAGTGCCTTCAACAATGGCAGAGCTTATAAAATACTATAAAAATTCTTAAAAATTCAGAGATATTCAAAGATGTATCTGCCTTGAAAATAGCTGATGTTGAACTGTGTAGCATAATCAAACATCAGTTGACCACAGGAAATGTTTTATCGTATTTTGCACTATGTCTTTATGATAATTTTATGTCATAAAATGTTTTATAAAATTTGCCAAATTTCAATTTTACAGGAATCTTGCGTCTCAGATTTTAGATGCATTCTGTAAGTTAATCCATTTGAACTATTTTGGTTCAAAAGGTTTTGACCTATGATGCACCATTTCACCCAGTAAAAGGCTACAGGAATGAGAGTTTTAGCACTATATGTTGCGTTGCAATTGGGTTTCTCTGTTTTCTGATTATGTATATGATTTTTGCAGAAATTTCTATGCTATGTTCAAAACTTGCTTACAGACCATTTAGCCTTATTAGTGCTGGTGACTGTGGACACTTTGTCTATTCTTTGTCCAATGTTATCTGGAAAAATAGTTTACCAGCAGGACCATAAAATTATTTGGTTGGTTTCAGAGTGATTTCGCCTCCTCTTAATAAATTATTTGGATTTTAAAGAACTGGATATGGCCTGGGACTTAATCCAGTGCATAAACATTCTCACCTAATCCTAAAATTCTTTAAGAAGATCCAATCCCCCTTCCCAATTTCCATTTCTCTTTAGTGTCCCTCTCCCTTATTTCTGTATTCTGATTCACTCCTGATTTATTCTCTTCCCTAGGTAAGATGACTCTAATATCTCCTGTTTTTCAAGTCCTTAAAAGTTGTAATTCTTCTCTTTTTCCTCCTGATGCATGAACAGTATCACGGTTGAACAGTCTTGAGGCAGCAGTCCACCGTCTCAACGTGCAGTTCTATCACATGGATGTGCGAGTGTCACAATTCTCCCAAGGTCTGGCTGAATTGAAGGGGGGCCTAGCTGAGGCTAGTGAGTCACTTGCCTCTCTGAATGAAGTTGCCACACGCAACCAGAAAGAACTTGGACGTATTGATGGTGAGGATGGAAAAAGGGAGTGGAATCAGTCTTCCTCCCCTCCCCCCATTCTATAGCAATGTTTCTGACTCTCAGCAATTTTAAGAAGTGTAAATTTCAATTCCCAGAACTCCAGCCAGCATCTTGGTTGGGGAATTCTGGGAATTGAGATCCACTCATTGTGAAGTTGCTGAGACTGAGATACACTGTTTTATAGGATATGAGTTATAACCTAACACTTAAAAGCCCAGGATTGAGGAAAATTGCACTAGCAGTTTGCATGAAATTAATCCCAGCAACAACAAAGATGGTCAAGCTGAGCTTTGATCTCCAACCTCCAAGGAGTGGAAGACACTGTCCAGAATCTTTGGAAATTGGAGATCAACCTGAGAACTGGTTTCAACCTTTGAAGTTATCCATTGCCAAATCCCTCCAAAAAGGAAAGCTCATCACTTTATTTTACATAAAGCAGACATCCTACTAGTCAGATATAACATACTGCTCGGGGACTGCTGATCTCTGCTGTCTACTGAGACAAAAAGATTAAACAAAAGGTTATTCAAAGGATTGGCTGAAATATGTGCATGAGTTAAGTTGAGAGAACTAAGAGGAAGAATCCAGTTTTCAAGGTCATTCCCCTGTTGTTATGTCCACTGTACTGTGATGCAGTTGAACAATATTGGATTAGAATTGATTGCGGAAAAATAGATTTAGGTTCAGATACAGAAAGTCACTGGATGACTTGGGTCTGTTCATCCTTTTTTCCCAATCTATTTCATAGGCTTGCTGCTATGTTGATAAAAGGAAAGCATTATGAAGAAATAAATCTAGCAAATAAATTAATCATTGCTTATACATTTTTCACAAACTTTTATAAAATTCATAAGGCAGGAATCTGGCCCTTCTCTATACTTCTAGTATACAGTCCTCCATTCCTTGGAGGTTGGAGATCAAAACCACTAAGAACTGTGGTGGCACACTTATTAGAATGTAGCATTGCCCACTATCAGTAGTTTGACCCTGATTGGGTCAAAGTTGACTCATCCTTTCATCTTTCTGAAGTCAGTAAAATGAGGACCCAGATGGCTGGGGAGCAACATACTGATTTTGTAAGTCGCTTAGAGAGTGCTGTAAACACTATGAAGCAGTATATAAGTCTAAGTGCTTTAGCTATTACTACTAATCATTATCTTTGCCCAACCCAGGTTGCTTGCGGGGCCGGCGCACTCAAACTAAATGCTTCCTGATCTTCAAGCACTTTGAAGTCTACAATGCAGCCCAAAAACTTTGTGAAGCCAGAGGAGGGCATTTGGCCATGCCAGTGGATGATACTGAGCTGGCTGTCCTGCGGCGCTATCTTTATGATGCTTTTCAGCCCTACAACTGGCCAGCCTGGATAGGCATCCACGACCGGCGTTCTGAAGGGTTGTGGCTTTTTGAGAATGGCCAACGTGTCTCTGTCTTTGATTGGTATCGAGACCATCTGGTGACTCAACCCAATGGTGGTACCCGCGAGAATTGTGTCTCCCTCAGCTCGGATGATGGGAAATGGTGGGACAATGACTGCGAAAGACGCATGTATTACATCTGTGAATATCGCCTCTAGTGTTGTACCCCTTTTCAATGCTCAGTCCCTGGTGGTTTTGGTTGCACTGGTACCCTTTCACTACTAGCCTGTGGGTGCAGTAACAGCTAAAAGTTCTGGACATTCCACCCCTCCCCAATTTTATACATGGATCTATTAGCTTTCCCTTCTTCACCTGCCATAGCCTCAGCCTAATACTCTTTAAATATGAGGAATGGCAGCTTCCTGGTATTTTTGTTCTCTACAGTCTGCAGAGAAAATGGGGGAAAATTTTGATTCTTTTATTAAAGTAGGTAACATATTTGGTGTCTAAAAGGATTAAGCCATGTTTTACTTTGGAAGTCTCTTGAAAAAAACTAAAAAGGGTACTTGGAGCCCATCCTTCTTTGGTGACATTCCTGAATCACTGGCACGCCCTCTGCGGGCCATGAAGGACAATTTTTTGGAATGCAAGGCTCCTGGTGGTGGTGATGATAAATCACTTATTTAGCCCTAAAGCAAAAAGAAAAGATACATAAACTGCCTTTTGCTTCTTCTTTAGTGCATAGTAAATCTGCAGTAACAGTTGAATAGGAAATAGTATTCATTAGATGCCAAAGCCAGGAAAAAAGCCTAGAATCTAAATCTGTATTGAAAATCCTCTTAGTTTACAATATACTGCGTTCATTGATAACATGGAGATAGCAGAGTCCACTCCTCACTGGACCTCTTCAGGGTTGATGAAACTCAAACTTAGTTGGGCTCATTGTCTTGTGAAGGGTTAGGCCTTTGTCCTTACCTGAGTTAACTGATCCAAGTATAGTATTAGCATTGGAAGAAAAAGTCCTTGTTGTGTCTTTGGAGAGCTTCTTTCCTACAACCCTGCAGTTGGGATGGAAAAGATCTTTATCCTGTATGATTTGGATGGGTCATCTGATGCTGCAGGACTGCATGCAGCTCCTAAACCAGGGGTCTTCAAACTTGGCCCTTTTATGACTTGTGGACTTCAACTCCCAGAATTCCTCATCCAGCATGCTTGGCTGAGGAATTCTGGGAGTTGAAGTTCACAAGTCATAAAAGGGCCAAGTTTGAAGACCCCTGTCCTAAACCCTTTTTTGAAAAGCTGCTTCCAACCACAATTGCTTAAATCAGCCCTAGTGTTCTGACCTTTTGAGGCACAAAACAAAATGTGATCCCTAAAAAGGATGAACAAAGAAATTGCCCTACACACTCCCTTAAAGCAAGGGAGAGGTGGGAGGGGGTGGGAACATCCATTCATATGATTCAATCAGACCTATTTTGTATCATTACCCTACTCTTGAATATAACACTGCCAACCCAACAACATGCCATGGCCGGATTAACATAATTAAATCAATTTCATTAAAAAAAATTTACACAATAGAAGAAATTACAACTAATTCTACATTTGTCATAAAGACTGAAAATGATGCAACAAGGATTCATAGCTTTCTGAAAGCAGGATGAGGAACAGATAATTTGTTTCTAGATATTTAATACAATTACCCCAGAAGTAAAAGCAAAATCATGTTGGACTTGAAATCCTGATGCATTAATGTAGCTGATGTTTCCCATTCTACCTCCCTATCCCCCATGGTTTGCTACTGTTTTCTGCTGGGCTATTTTTTCAGAGTTCCTGTTATTCACCAGACCTTGTCTTTCTAGGTGACATCTAAGTATTAAGTACAGCCAACACTGCTTAGGTTTCTAAATCAGCCACGGTTGGTTAGACACTGTCACTTGCTGAGAATCATATTCTATTAGTTGTATCAAATCGGGGTCATACTAAGAAAGATGATGTCCAACAGCTGTTGGGCCTCATATCACCCACTAGATGCTACCAAACTACAACTTCCATTAGGAGCAGGGCAATCATGAGATGCCAATCAGCAATTGTAAAAAGCCTTATGTACCACCACTACCCCCCCCCCAGCATTAGGAATAATATTTGTCCTGGCTTAAGCATCAACTTTCTTGTGGCATTGGCTTCTATAAGGCAGCTTGACTTCCCTTTTGGCACTAATAAAAAAAACAATGGCTAGTAAATACTCTGATTAATAAAGGGATAGCCATGAACAATTCACCAGATGTGATCTGTGGACAGGCTATTTTTGGAACTGCTATGAGGCAGCTCCATAATTTCTATTATTCCTAGCCAAGTTGAAGAAATGTTGGATGAGACTAGCAACTAAAGCCAACAGAACTGGATGATAAAGTTAGAGGGTAATGTCTTATTCATATTGAACAAGGCCAGAGAGGGATGTTTTCTATAATTTTTAGCTCTACCGCATCCTTGGCTGTTGGTGCTCTAAAGAATCACCATCTGGGAAAAAAAAATTCTTCAGTTTTCCCCCACCCCTATCTTAGTATAAGCATCATCATCTTTTTAAAAAATAAAATACCTTTTATTTTCTTGTTGCTCTTTGAATTACCCCCCCCCCCCAAAAAAACTAAATAAACTCAATTTTAAAGTGGAGAGGAAGAAGGGTCCCGGCTGTATAAACCTGTCTTCAGCTGTTCCTCTTTCATTTGATAATCCTGAACTTTTTAATGTGTGCAAATAGGAGGAGGGGGTTAGGATAGGAGAGAAAAAGGAAGGCATTACATAGGGAAGGGCATGATCAAGAGGCAGTGAAAAGTCTAATGGCTAAGGCACCAAGCTATAAAGTGGGAGACTGTGACTTCTATCTTAGCCATGAAAACCAGCTGGGTGACCCTGGGATAATCATTCTCTCAGCCCAACTTATCTCACAGGTGGGGGAAATAGAAGGTTGAATGAATTTGCCACCTTGAGTTCTTTGTAAAAAATAATAAAGGCTGGGTATAAATAAAATTGAAGAAATGGTTAGTACTTTCTTTGGTTTAAAGATCAATGCCCCCTAAATGGAAGGAAGGCCAGAGGAATCACAGTACTTTTCTAGCATCCTTTCTTCTTTTGGCTCTGTATCTTGATTTTCGAGGAAGGGTGAGGAGAGGAGGGAATGCTGCCTATATTCATTGAATCCATAGTGCAAGTAAGATATCTCTCTACCAGAGAATCCTCCAATTATGTTGTCCATCATCATTCCATTAGGTAATAAGAGAAAAGGCTTGGTTAATGTACCTTTTGTTTAGATACTCCAGGGCTCCTTATAAAGCAAAAACACATTGACATCAACCACATGCCTGCTTGATGTGTGTCTGAATTGCAACCTAAACTTCTTGAAATATTCCATGCCCTCCTTTTGTTTCCCTGAATTGGTGCTGTCATTATTTTCAGCTCTCTATACCATTCAGCATATTTCTCCCCCCTTATCTTCTCCCTGTAATGAATCTGTTTCCCTATGGTAAGCATGGGCTAGTCCACTCCTATTCCTCTATTTCTTACTTACTCTTAATACATCATTTCTGTCCTCAAATGATCTCTCCTTCTGACCCATAGTTTGTGTCATTCCCCCCCCCCCATATCTCCGAGAGGCGAGGACTACAGCCATACACTCTCATAACATTCATTTCCCTTACATTTATGGAATATTCTAGCACATCAGCCCTCCTACTTCTTTGGAAGATTCAACATGATCTAATTTGGCCTCCTCCCCTCCCTTCCTCCAAACAAAGCCTACTAAAAGCCACAGCTGTTTCTTTTATTCCAGATCAGTCTTCTTAGCCGGTAGTCTACAACTTCACTGAACTAATATTTTCATAGCTCCCAATCAGCTGGTGGGAGTAGAGGGAATTTGTATTTTGATCCCTGGTTGATGCAATTCGAAGAGGTCTGCCCTAGTTTGGCCCACCCCACAAAACCACTCAAATGGTTTTGTTCTATTCCCCTTTCTCCAAAACACTCAAGACTGTACTCGCCCTCTAGACCTTTTGGCCAGTCCAGCAGAGGGAAGTAGATACAGGACACATGGGAACTCTTCTCCAATTTCAGTCTTTTGTGGTGGAATGCTATAGGATCCTGCAGACAGATGCCCACCCAAGGCTGCTTTCTTTGTGTACTTTAACAGAGCATTGCACGGTTGCCATGGAGGAACACAAGCATATCGACATGCTCTGGTGTCAGGGCTTGGCGCTTAGTATGGATGGCATCTCCAGTGCTGCTGAAGAGCCAGCCAGCAGGTACTGAAGTGGCAGGCACTCCTAGGAGCTTGCGGGCTGCCCGGGACAATAATGGGTACTGGGTGTGGTGGATCTTCCACCATTGCAGGGGTTCCTGAGCGAGGGCAGATGCTTTGCTGGTCTGGAAGCTGGTTGTCTCCTGCTCGGCTTGCTGATGGGCAGAGCTGATGTCTGGGCCACCATGCATGCTGCAAAGATCTCCCAGCAAGAATTCAATGCCTGCATCTTGCTTTGGCAGCTTGGAAGGGGGCGATGAGGAAGCCACATCAGGCAGGCTGGAGGTTAAGAAAGCAGGCGCCTTGGCCAAGTGTGACACTTCGGCCTTGAGCAAGTGCAAAGTTTCCACCTGGTCAGAATGGCTCAGGAAGTCCAGACCACGAAACCGGGGGTCAAGAGCACAGGCTAGATTGAGGGCCTGGTTAACTTCAGGGCTGGAGAAATGGTGGTTCAGTTCTTTCTGAGCTGCTGCTTTGGCTTCAAGGGTCAGAGCAGAGTCCCACTCACTGGCCACCAAGTGCTTGTAGAGGAGGCTAGTTAACACGGGCTTGACTAGGGCAAGACTGGAAAAGGGATCTTTGGTAAACGTAGAGGTAGCAATTGCCATGGGCTTGAGAACTTGGACTATGTCCTGAAGGGCAGCCCAGTCCTGTGGGTGCAGGATTGCCTTTCCATCAGGACCGAGCCCTGACAGAGACTTGCTATACTCTAGCAAATCCTGCAGAATTGTGTAGACACTGTGCCATTTGCTCCCATCCCTCAGGAAGCGGCTGAGGTGGGCTTTCAAGAGGGGCTCCTGGAACCACAGTTTTTCATTACGACCTGTCCCCGTCAGTGCCCAAGAAGCCAAAGAACAGAGGTGCTCCAGGGCACTCTGGGCTACTGGCTGGCCCAGCACTGCTTCCATTGCTGCCCGCAAGGCCTGCCCAATGCAAGGCAGGGCTGTCCACCCCAGGGCAGCAGCTGCTTGCTGGATGGCAGGGCCAAGGCCTCCCACAGTGTACAAAGTGCTCTCATGTACTCCCCATTCTTTGGTGGCCTCAGCCAGTGCCTCCACCAGGCTCTCAGGGCTGGGGTTCTCAGGAATAGGGCGGCTTGAAAGGACCCTGGCCCTGGGTTCAAAGCAGTCATCCACATAGTGGACAGTTAGTGTGAGGTAGGTTAGAGTGCTGCTGTGGTGCCATACATCCAGACTGAGGGAACACTGGGGCAGGCCCCGCACCAGTTCCCAGATTTTCCCTTTCACCTGGGTATACATGTCCTTCAGCACTGTGTGGGCGAGGGCAGCAGCTTCAGGGAGTCTGTAGTTGGGGTCCAGGACAGCTAGCATCTGCCCAAACCCCTCACCTTCTACCACCTCCACTGGCATCAGGTCCAACACAATAAAGTCAGCCACTGCCCGTGTTGTCCGGCCAGGGATTGGAGGCCGGGGAGTTCCAAACTCGCTTGTACCAGCCATTCCTTTGTCAAGAGGGGCCACCTGTGTCCCAACAAGCTGGTTGTATTCACAACGATGTTTGTAGACGAGATGTTGGCGTAAGTTGGTGGTGTTTCCGCTGTAGCTCAGCCGGACTCCACACAACTTGCAGATGATCTTGCTCTTGTCGAGGATGCGGCCATAGGCATCCCCCTGGAAGCCAAAAAAAGTCCAGTAGCGACTCTGAGCACGGCCCAAACCCACCAGATTTTGTGTCCCTTCCAGCAGGGGAAATGTGATTCCTCCCACAGGAAGGCCTGGCTTGTGGAGGGGCAGGAAAGATGAGGCAGTGGCATCTCCACACAAATACTGGGTACGAGAAGAAGGAGCATGGGGAGCTGGAGGAGATGACCGAGTCTTGACATGCAGCTCTTGGAAGAGTTTCATCAGTAATTCTTTCTCGCCAAATTCGTATTTGAAATGCTCACCTGTGGGGGAATGGAACAAACTGCATCACTGGGACAAGATCCTTGCCCCTTATATTTGTAGGTAGGTTTCTTTTCCTGAGCACTAAAGAGTAGTACCAGTTCTGATAGACATATCTGTCCCTCCTCCCATAACAAATTTCAAAGATTGAATTTCCCCCCTCGCTTTTATAGATCTGGAAATATGTGCAATTTTTCAATTTCAAAACTCTCTGGTGAGCAAGCAGGGCAGACACGTGGCTAGAGGAGATGTGATGGAACATAGTAAAGAGGTGGATTCCCAAGAGGAGGGGGTGCATTCTAGAGGAATATAAGGCAACTCAGTCTGAAGATTATGTGTGAGACAAAGAGGGTGAAGGCAGCCCCTCCCTAATAGTTTATAGAGTATATGGTGCATGCAGAGAGCTTAGTCTGGTAAGACTTTGTCTACAGGTGTGAAAAATAAAGAATTCTACTTGGACCTTACCTGTGACCTTGATTTTACCTACAAATAGGATAAGTTCTACTGGCATGAGTAGGCGATTACAAGTACCCTACGCCTGCAACACCATTAGACAGCCCAGATATATTTACCAAGTTAAAACAAATAAATACAAATGTAAAAATTGTTGAAAACTCATGATAGCCAAGACATGCAAAGAGCTCTGCTTTCATATGGGATTCTCTAAAGTCAACTTAAAAGAATGAAGGAGGGTTTTTTTTTTTTTTGGTGTCCAGCAACACTGTTATATTAGTAATAGTAATAGTAGTAAAGTTGGAAGGGACCCTGGAGGTCATCTAGTCCAACCCCCTGCTCTGTTCAATGTTCATTGCCTGTAAACATAGCAGATACATAGCCCAATAAAATGTGACCCCCCCACAAGAAAAAAAGTTCTTCATCTTGCTATATATTAGGGGTCCCCAACCCCCAGGCCATGGAACGATCCTGGTTTGTGGCCCATTGGAAATGGGGCTGCCCAGATGGCCATGAGTAACAGGCAAGCAAATGATACCGAAACCTTCATCAAAATTGACTTCCATGAAACTAGTCCCTGATGCTAAAAAGGTTGGGGACCACTGCTATATAGAATTAGGATGCTCAGTCTATCAATTTAAAGGGGAAGAAATAAAGCAGCAAAGCTTCCATTAGCTTGGGCTTTGTTTTAAAGTTGGTTACATCTTTGTTTAGAGGTGCTACTATCCAAAACCAATCTACATTTTCCTCAGTGTGTCCTGAAATTCAGATAACTGAGTAAATTAATGTTGAGTAAAACAATATTTTTTAACTTCAGCATGCTGATAGGGGAAATTCTGGAATTTGAAGTCCATATATCTTAACAGTACTAAGATTTAGAAACAAATCATGGATAAATATGTTGTGTGAATACAGTCATCTAGTAAGCTTGTTAAACCAGGGATATGCAAGCTTCTACTAAGGGAGGATAACATTTTTTTCAAGGTATATCTTGGGGGGTCACATGGTGAGGCTCAATAGCCCTATTTGGCACAAACTTTAAAAAAAGCCTGCATTAATTGATAAAGAGTTGGCATTGTTTGGAGCTAACTAACCTTCCTGGTCAAGTAACTTAACTTGTGTTATGTGAACTATTTACTACACAAGTAACTCTCCTAATATCTGGAATATAAGAGAGTGCCCTTCTCTTTAAAATTCTGATGTACATGATTGAGATGAAGCCTAGAGAGGTTCTATTTTTGCCTTTTACCTTCCATGACTGACTAAGATATTGCAAATAAAAAAGGGACAGAAATGATTGGGAAGACAACTTTATTGCATGAGTTGCATGGTTCAATCCAGCTGTACTATTTTTTCATCCCCAGAGAGGAAAAAAATTTATAGGGAGAGGAAAGTGACAACTCTCTTAGCTCTTTTTTGGCAGCTGAGAAGGCTAAAAAGAGGCTGTCAAATTACTATTGGAATAATTAAGGTTTGTGAGTACCAAGTACACAAAGATGAATCACTTAATTTGGAGAATAAATAATTGGATCATTCATGTCATGTGAACAAGGTCATTAATTTCTTAACAACTTATTTTTCCCTCTTCCATAACAAGCAGCAAGGAAGGGACAAAACCTTTTTCAAAGACCTTAGCTGATCTCTTCCAAAAGCTTGCAAGTTAAGCAGTTTGTCCATTTCTATATCAAATATACTCTTGGCTAAACTGTGGGGCCATTGGATATATTTGAACATAATTACTAGTAGAGAAATAATATTACATTGTGAAAAGTTCCTGATGTTTTTTTTTCTATTGCTAAGAGAATTCACTGTAGAAAGCAGTAGAAAACCATTACAATATTATTGTCCTAGGAAAATTATAAATGGCTGAAAAGAAGTAGCTTAGGGCCTCTGATCCCTGGGGAAGCTTTACACAGTCCAGGGTACAAAAGAAATCCTGAGAATAAATAGCTCTGATGGTTACCAATCTCCAATAGGAGATATCACTAATAGTGGTGAACTGTCTATGTTAATACGTGACATGTAGTATATGAGTCCAAAGATCTGTTTAGTATAATAGATTGATAATAGCGATAGATATATAGACAGACGGATCTCTCTTTTTTTTTCTGGATCAACCAAATGTTAATCCATTGGTTGTGATAGGAATTGACCAACAGATCTGTTGCCCAAGCCTGATGTCATGGGCTGAGACATCCAGCCAGTTTTCATGCCTAAGGTTAGGCTAAACTCACTGCCTCTTGGTTACTAGCCTGGTGCCTTAACCACTGTACTGCATTTATCTCAACCATGACAATTTGAAAATGTGTAGACTTCAGCTCCCAGAATTCCCCAGCCAATATGGGAAAATCTGGAACTTGAATTTCCACACATCTTTAATTTGCTAAGGTTGAGATAAGCGCAGTACACAATTTGTAGCCCACAAGGATGGGGCAAAATTGAAGTCCAAATTGCGACTTTTAATGATAGGGAAAGTTATCAAAGCACACATCTGGAAAGCAATTTTAAAAAACTCCATTTAAATATAACAACATAACTTTTAATATTTAGCATGGCTTTTGGGGATGTAGAAAATGCTATGCTATGCCCATGGCCTCAGCGGTTTAACTCACATGGCAGATTCTTTTAGAAATCCTAAATGGCTGCTAAAAGTGAAGCAAGGAAGGGACCTGGCCATTAGCCCTCTTCCCCTCTCCCTTTTCACTTACCTAAACGCAGCCCTAGAGTGCGAGCATATTCCTCTCCTATCCAGACCAGCAGCTCTGTATCAGCAGGTATAATCTGGCAGACACGGTAGTAGATGTAACCCCGATATTGGAATACAGTTAGGTTCTGCTCATCCTCAGTGGAGGCACATGCCACATATCTGCATGGAGAAAAAGGGACGATGAGTTGGGGGAGGCAACGTGTTTTCCTTCTTGGTTTTTATATCAACAGTAATTGCAGATTATGTCTCCAGGGAACTACAGGCCTAGTGGATTTAAGGACTCTCCTATGACTAAGGAAGCAACTGCTTTAAAAAAAGAAAAGGGTTAGGCTCATTTGGAGTCCCCAAGGAACAAATGTGGTAGTGTTTGGATTAAAGACACAAGGCAAATATGTTGTTTTATGCCATAATTGTGCCATAAGAATATAGTATAACAAAAGGAGAGTTAAACATTCATATTTCCTTGGATGTCCTTGCCCAGTTCTTCTTTAGTAGAGAATTAAAAAAACAAAATTTTGTTTATCCCTATTCTTCCCTCTACGTCCTCTCATAGATCACCAACATCTCACAAGATTCAAGTGAGATCGTATGCAATATCTTAAGACAATTTGGCAATTATTTGCTTTCTCTCTGTGCTGCTATCTGATGGTATCAGAAGTTCATGGATCCCAGTTTCTGCATATGTCATAAAAATAAAAACAGTTATAATTTTCCTTTCAGTTGCTACTGAGTTTCTCTCATAAGATGCTCACCTCATCCAGTTAGATTTGGAATCATCAGAAGCATCAATGAAAAAATAGGACCCATTGTCCCGAACCTGCAGAGAGAATGGAAGGAATAGAACAGTGATGGCAAACCTTTTAGAGACCAAGTGCCCAAACCCCGTTTATTTATCGCTGGGTGTCAAATTGGCATGGCTGACTGGGTGGGCATGGCCATGGTGGTCACGGCTGACTGGGTGGGTGTCGTCACAGTGGGTGTGGCCACCTTGATGATGCTCATGGGGAACGACGCCTGTGGGGGCCGGGCAGGGTTGGGGGAGATCCAGGGGGTCTCTGGTGGGTGGGGCAGTGGCTCGTCCTGTGGGGTGAGATGAGGCGAGGCATGGCGGGTGTGCCAATTGCCTTGGGGCATGGCAAGGTGAGCCAGGGACCAGACACCATCGCCCCCCACACATAGAGGCCATCAAGCACATGGGGGCCAATGGTGTCTGTCAGCAGCCACAGCCTTCTGGCTGTCCTGCATCATGGCAGCCCCATCGGCATGGGTGGAGACGGCCCTGGGACGGCCAGAAAGGACCCCTCACCTGTTGTGGGCCCTGTCTACACGGTGGCTCTGATGAGGGTGGCTGCTACTGCTCCTCCTGGTGCTCCAAGCCCCTTAACCAGCCAACAACACAGGGAAGTAGTGGCGGCAGTGGACCCTGCATCACCAAGCCTGGTGTGCAGCAGATCTGGAAGTGAAGCTGTGCCACCCATACTTGTGCTAGTGGAGGCAGCGGTGGGGGAAGGTGAGCTATGGCACACGCCCACCCCTCCCTACTGCCACTCATCGTCCCGGATGCATGGCCCGGAGGCGCAGGCAGGACGATGTAGGGCAGCAGTGGTAAAGGGTGGGTGCATTCCAGATCCCGCCTTCCCCCGCCGCCATCAGCATGAGGATGGGTGGCACAGCTTTGCTTTCGGATCTGCTGCCTGATACACAGAGGCCAGGAAGCGCATGGGGCTGACAGTGTCCGTCAGCAGCCACAGCATGCTACCTGTCCTGCATAATGGCGAACTGGCCACGGAGCACCATCGGTGCAGGCGGAGACGGCCCTGGGATGGCCGGAAGGAAGCCCTTGCTCAGCATGGGCCCTGTCTACTCGACGACTCTGATGGGGGGTGGCTTCTGCTGCTGCTCCGACTGGTCAACAATGCAGGGAAACAGGAGGGGCAGCTGGTATACGAGATCCAGTGCCTCATTGGGCTGTCAGAAAACAGCCAAAGGGGCTCCAGGCCCTGGCTGCCCCTCCACCTCCTCCTGCTTCCCTACATGGTTGACCGGATTGGAGCAGCAGCAGAAACCACCCCCATCACAGCCATCAAGTGGATGGGCCAAGGTCGGGCAAGGGCTTCTTTCCGGCCGTCCCAGGGCTGTCTCTGCCCGCGCTGATGGGGCTTCATGGCCAGTTCGCCATGATACAGGATAGCCAGCATGCTGTGGCTGCTGATGGACATCATCAGCCCCATGTGTTCGCTAGCCTCTGTGTGTGGAGGCCAAGGGTGTCAGGCAGCAGATCCGGAAGCAAAGTTGTGCCACTCATCCTCATGCTGGTGGGGGCAGCAGCAGCAGGGGAAGGCGGGATCTGGCATGCACCCACCCTTTGCCACTGTCGCCCCACATTGTCCCATGTGTGCCTCCTGGCCGTGTGCGGGACAATGTAGGGTGGCAGTGGGGAGAGGTGGGCGTGCGCCACAGCTCACCTTCCCCCGCCGCTGCCTCCACCAGCACAAGTATGGGCAGCACAGCTTCGCTTCCATATCTGCTGCCTGCTGGGCTTGGTAATGCGGGGATCACTGCCACCGTCTCCTATTTCTCTGTGTGATTGGCTGGTCAAAGGGTGCAGAGTAGCAGGAGGAGCAGCAGCCACCACCCGTCAGAGCCACTGTGTAGACAGGGCCGTACCAAGTGAGGGCTCCTTTCTGGCCGTCCCGGAGCCATCTCCGCCCACACTGATGGTGTCTCTGATTCCCTCCTGCCAGCCATCCCCCAGCCTGGTGCCCCTTCTATGCAATCCTATATGACCACAGTGTGGATGAGGCTTGGCCACCAGGGGAGGTGGCTTTCCTCCATGGAGGCGTCCTGGTCCTCCTGCTCCCCCTAGCCAGTCCCCCTTGCCTTCTCCCAGCCAGGACCTGATGACCCCCACCCTCCTGCTCCCACCCCAGCTGACCCCCTGAGCAACCCAGCCTGACCAAAACAGAGGGAAGGCGAGGCAGAGAACCGTTGTTAAATGATTTGAAACCCACCACTGGTCTCTTTGAAAGGCCGCTCACTCACTCACTCTCCTGCCAAAACTGCTCCTTTTATAAGTTTCCCTCACCCCGTCCAGCTCTCCCAGCTGTTCCCAGATTCTGCATGTGTGGAGAGGGGGAGGAGAAGAGCCCGGTCCTGCGTCCCTCTGTCTGTGGCAATAGCATGCGTGCCCACAGGGACGGCTGTGTGCCGCCTGTGGCACGTGTGCCATAGGTTCGCCACCACGGAAATAGAAAGATTCAATTAAACCCACAAATTCTACCTTTATTTTAGAATTTGTTTGGGATTTTAAGCTGGCTGTAGACAACCTACAACCAAGGTAAAAAAAAAAAAATGGCTCATGAGGTAAAGAGCACCATCTGCAGTGGATCTGAAAAACTCCATCTATCTTAAGGCAGAAACAGGGAAATCAAACTGCTGGGAGAAATTATATATTAGCGTTATTTACTACAACGCAAAGATTCATCAACAAAACTGCACAGAGTAGTGGCAAAGGAAGATCTGAAATGCCAGCTTGCAAGTATTATTTAGCAAACTATACCACTCCAAATCCTCATAGCATACCCAGATACAAAGGAACATCTAGCACAGATGAGAGATTCTCAGTAATGAATTTGAGGAAGATATTGTTCTTGCAATTGATAATCAATTGCAACACTGAACCCTTTGTAAATTATCCTCTATTAATTACTGGAACCCAGCAGTTTCAGCTCTCTCCTTGCTTCATTATGAGCTTTTGTCTACTCACACAGCTTATTGGGGAAATTGATTTTGTATTTGTTACTCACAATCCCTGAATCCTTCTTCACAGCTGTACTTTGAAAGGAATGCCATAAATCATGAGTGATCAGACTCCATTGTTTTCTATCTGGGAATAAGAGATTGCTGGCAACTGTCAGCATCTATTCCCCCCTTCTGAACTGTCATGACCGCTTGCAGTATTTTCAGGGAAAGGGTGTGGACCTGCAGACAATACAACTCTTAAGATCCTGCAGGCATACCTTTTCAAGTTTCCTCTTCAAAAGGCAACTGCAAGACAGCACAACAGAGCTTCCTATTATTTGGTTTAAATGGTAAATCATTTGTTTGGATGCATTTTATTTTCTTCTTCATCTTCTTATAAAAGCATTCTTGGAACTCTCCTCTTCCTCTTGAATTGTGCATTTTTAAGTTAAAAGGCAGGGGCCAAGGAGGGTCTTCTCTGAAAACATAAAACTGAATGTGGCAGTGTGATGTAAGGGAAAAGCTGTGAGCTTTGGACTGGGAATCCCAGATTCAAATTCCTAAACCTATTTTACCCTTTTCCAGCATAAGCTGTATATATTCTCAGGGGACCTCAGTACAACCAAGCAGAAGACACTGGGCAACTATTGTCTCTTTCACTCCATAAAGGGTAAGGAAAAAAAATGAAAGCAACAGAAAAAGATGTGAGAAATATATGTAGAAAGTGCTTTGATATGCAGGATTCCTCTGTTAAATTCTGCTCTTTCCCAGAAACATCCTATCTTCTGAGGTTCTTGAGCAAGGGTGTCAAACTGCTGGCCTGCAGGCTGGATGGGTCATGCTGAAACCACGCCCACCCCATTGCTGGCAATGGAAAAAAAGTTGTAATACGTCACATGACATTGCGAGTTTGATACCCATTCTTGAGAATCTAAGCTGAGGAGAGGATCGGAAAGCAAGACACGTGGGGAGGCCAGGTTCATCACCTTTTTTTGATGGCCTCTACAAGATGGTAGCCTAGAGATATCATTGGAATGGATGCCATTAATATTTTCAGGCAAAATGGATACTTTGAGCTGCCCACACCAGAGGTACAGAGCCATTTTCAGAGAACTTTGGGGCTTAAAAGATCTATTTTATCCTTTAAGGCCCAAATGTTTACTCCCTTCAGGATGCGCTCTGAGCAGACAAAAAAAGGAGCTGGAATGGTTTGTAGGCGGCATTGTTTTGGGTGTATAGCATAAGGACTTCATATACCTCACCAAGAAGTTAAATGTGGCCTTTATCCTCTCTTAGAATCTGCTGCCCACCACCACTAAGCTGTCTGTGTTCACCGTCTTAATCTGTATCTACAACTATGGGATTGATGTAAATATGAGAATAGTAGTAGTAGTAGAGGTTTTGTTTGCATATTATTTTAAATCAGGGACTTCAGCCATGGGAAAGAAGAGGGATTATTATAAAAGGCTGTGTGCATATTTTAAAATGTATGAACTAAGTTAACTTAAAATAGTAACATGTAACTAGCAACCATTAACTAGTAATGGTTAAGGCACTAGAAAGCAAGAGTCTGTGACTTCAAGTCCCACCTTAGCCATGAAAGCCAGCTGGGTGACCTTGGATCAGTCTCTCTCTCGCTCAGTCCAACTCGCTTCACAGGGTTGCTATTATGGGGAAAACAGGATGAGGAAGATGTGTCGGATATGTTTGCCATCTTTAATTATTTGTAAAAATAAAAGAGGTGTAGTATAAATAAAAAATAAACTTTCATTTTTATCTCTCATCCATTTTTAAATAGTCCAGTATAGGCTGTCTCTTTTGCAATATGAATTCATCAGTGATGTAGTTCTTGACCTAAAGAAAGTTGCATAGTTTTGATATCCAGGGAGGATGGATAGTCCACCCTTTGTACCCCAAAGGTTTCAGAATCACTGGCTTTTATTGGTGATGATGCAGAGCTGCTGAGTAACACAATGGGTTGCACACAAAATCTAACCTGGAAGGAGAAAGTATCTTTTGTTTCCATTCTACCCCAAATAACTTGGAGGAAATTTCCTCCCTCCCTCCCTCCCTCCCTTTCCTATAACAAAAGAAGGAACAATTAGGCCTATCTATTCTCTGCACTGATTGGTTGATCACTGCTGAGAAGAAAACAAGCTGAAAAACGAAGTAGCACTTTTCATGTAGCACAGCAATGGATTCCCCCCCCCACCTTGCAGGGATTGATAGCAACTCTGAGCAAGCAAAGGACAGGACCAAAGACAGCAATAGAAATACCCTAAACTAAAACATAGTATTTTCCTCCCTTTTAACTTTTTATACATCTTTAGAACACCTATTTCTCTCTCTACCCTTTTCTGCTGAGAGACAAACAAGTTATTTTTGCAGAAAGTCTGAAATAATCCCTCACAGGCAGTTTGAAAATTAGACTAAGAGCTACAGATTCTTGGGCGGGTTGTGTGAACCGAATCTTGGGAGAGAAGAAGGAACCTCAGTTCAGAATAACAAAGCCAATATAAAGTGCCAGTGGGAGATCCTTCCTCAACCTGATTATCTCCAAACATATTGGTCATTTGCCTATGGCTGGCTATTGTAGCTCAGCATCTCCAGATCTGACATTAGTCTGGAGAAAGGATAAACTCTTATATCTTTGTCCCATACTTTGACCAAAGGTATGGGACAAAGCAGATTCAAAAACTACATCATCCACCACTTAAAAATCTATGAAAACTTACTAAATTAATTAAGCATGGCTCAGGATCAAACTTTCCTATGTACAGGAATTTGAATCTGGGTTTTTCTGGCTTAAGATCAACAACAGTTTTAATGCCAGATCTCTTTTCTAGTGGATAATATACTGGTTTTTCAGTTAAGAACTGATTTAGGGCAGTTTGTATAGTGATCTCCTTGAAGACATCTCAACTTTAATGCATGTCCTCAAGATTAATCTATGTAAATGCACATGTATCTTCAACTTGTACATTATCCCATTTGTTGTATTTCTATGGCCAAACCTGGGGTTGAGAGGGGGCTTTGGAAATGCCAACCCCTTAACTCCTATGTCCTGTTACAAACCAGTAGCTCACTTTTGTTGGCAGTATGTTAGATAGACTCTTTATGAGATACGTGTAAACCTCTTGTTTTTCATTCCAATATCTCAATTAAGATTGTGGGAAACTGATGTTAAAGATTGACTGAAGCAACCTGCTGCAGGAAATAAGGCTAGGGGGGTAAATTGGGAAAGGGAGGGGACCCAAATTTGTGAAACATCCCAGCATCTATGCAATTGCCAGAATGGCAGTATTACTTTTTACTTTTCAATACTACTATATTTTTTTTAACTCACATTTTATCCAAGGACATATTTTTTTTTTCAAATAAAAGGCTTTACAAAATTCTACCAGATGACTCTGATCATGAAACATTATGTGATTATTCTGTCTTTTCCTTAAAGGTTTTGCTGAGGTAAAACTGAAGCCCAAAATGTGCGACATAAGCATTGATTAAGTTGACGTCAGTGATACTTGAAGTTCCTGGAACTATTCTGTGAACGAAGAGAAGCTGAACAATACTATAAAGTTCTTGTCAAGAAGTGCCTACAGTTAACTAAATCAAGGATGCCTGAAACAACTGTTCCCTATCCCTTTAGGAAATTATTTACGGCTACTACTGCTAAGTCAATTCATTTGTCTGGAAGCAAAAACCAATCCACTCATTTCCCATTTTTTTTACACAGGTAATCTTGACTTATAACCATGTTGGAGCCTGCCCAGGACAGTCGTAAAACATGACAGTTGTAAAGCATGTCATCACATGATTGACTCAATATTACATTTTTTCTGGCAGTTGTTAAGTGACACACTCTGGTCATTAGGTGAATCTACAGTTGTTAATGAATGTCACAATAATTAACACCTGTTGTGTTTTTGCTGAAGACCAGAAGCTAGTTTTTGGCAAAAATATTATAAATGATGTTGCAAACAGTCATAAATGTGCTTGAAATGTGTTCATGTGACCATAGCAGACAGCCAGTGGAACTGGGTTGTAAGTACCTTTTTTTGTTGTGTGTGTGTGTGTTTTGTAATGCCAAATGCCCAGGTCATAAGCTGAGTGTCACCTGTACTGAGACAAACACAAGAAAAAAAATGGACAAATCTCTTTCGATAGTCAACAATTCCGAAATCCAGAAGAAATTTCAGCTGAAGTTATGATATAACAAAGACACCAAGAGCTGTATACTGTGGTGATTGGTGTGTTATGCCTTACCGCCCAAGAATAACGGGTGCAGTCACTATGTTCTCGGACCATTTCCCCCTCATAGGGCCCAAAGATGCAGCCACGAGGTAGGGCTGGGAGTGCACTCCACACTCCAAAGCCTCCTTGAGAACGTTCCTTGACCAGAAGTCCCTCAGGCAGGGACAGCAGTGCCCGTGATGGAGTTCTTTCTGGAACAGGTGTGTCAGCCACAAAGGTGGGGGGTCCATGTTGTGGGCAGGAGTTGCGGAAATAAAGACGACAGTCTTCACAGACTGTAAGGGAAAAAATAAGTTTAAAAATTGGGTCTTGAGGGAGTTCTGTGTGCTGGGACAAAGACCATATACCATACAGCATGGGTGTTAAATTTGCTGCATCACTTTTTTTGCATTGCCGGAGCTGGGTGGGCTCAGCCTCCATATGATGCAACTGGCCCATGGGCCGGCAGTTTGACACACCTGCCATACAGTATAATCTCAGGAAATCAGTGATCAATGAATATGCCATAAGGCGATTATAGTATATATTTACAATACCTATTTTACACCTTCTTTTCTGGGTGTTTCTCCTTTAAATCATGGGTCAGCAATCCGTGGCTTATGTGTGACCCTGAGTTTTTTGTGACCCTCTCCTATTGAATGATGAGTTATGATTTCTCATTTCTTGCACAAAACAAATGACAAAATGCTTCAGTCTTCGAGATTTAGCATGGCGAAGACATAACTTCATCGCTGTTTTGTTCATAACAACTTTCAGCTGACCATTTTAAATTAAATGCTGAACAGATAAGAGACTATGCCTGATTTAGGAAACAAACAAACAAATGCAATTCTCACAAGATTTCAAGAGGATCCTGTCATGATGTCTGATTTCAGAAAATACTTGGAAAAGGAAATGGCCTAAACCAGGGGGGTCAAACTCACATCACGTGATGTGTCGCGATGTATCGCGACTTTTTTGCCATTGCTGGCAATGGGGTGGGCAGTTTTGCTATGATGCATCTGGCCCGTGGGCCAGCAGTTTGACACCCCTGGCCTAAACCAAACTTGTCCTTAGAAAATCTTGAGAGGGAGAGTATATCTTGTGATGAGTCTCTGCCTGCACCAACTTGAGGCTGTTAGGGATAGCTTCCTGCTTATAACCATACAAAATGGTGCCTGAAGAATGTCATAAACTCATTATGCTCCACTCCCTCATTCTATGCGGCCATTCTCCATCAATGAGCCTTCTCTATATATTAAAACTATAATTCTCAGAATTGCTGGCACATCTAAAGGATATAAAAATATGGGTTATAGCTCCTATATCTTTTGTACATCCCATTTACTGAGGTGGGGGAGCATTGTCACTTGTTATCCTCTTTCTCTTACATAGGGCAAACAAACAACCATCTGTATATGTGTGTCAGCATATGTGTATCTATAAAATTGTGAACTTTTTGTTCATAAGGTGACAGCTTTTAAAAAGAACTGAAAAAAATGACTCAGGTCTCATACAAGGGCAAGTACAGCATCTCTCTTCTAGTCATTAAAACAACCCATCTTTTTTTAGGATTCTAATGTGAGTCTGAAAAAATAACTGCTTTAAAGAGACAATTCAGTTGTTAATGTGCTGTTAATAAAGCTGCACTTTGTTTTCAGGCTTGCAAAATGTCATGCTGCTTTAACAGCAACAGAATGATGCTATGCTCACATGAAGTTCGTGATATTTTTTTCCACATTATTTTCAAAGCCTACACAGCCCAAGTATTCCCCCCACCTCCAATCATTACCTAGAGAGGATGCAAAAGCAGAATTAGCAAGTGTGCAAATCAGCCACTCACCTAAACTCAGACTATCATAAGTCAGAGAAGGTTTTCAAAACTTGATTGTTCTTGTTTTCATTCCCTCCCCAGATACGATATGGCTAGAAACAGAGTGGGTAATTTAGTGATTTGTGAGAAATAGCCAGTTATCAGTCACTGAGACACTAGTGAATAAATGCAGTACTCTAGTAAATACTGTGGATTTCTCTGCTAAAAGAAATATGCTGCGGATACTCTGAATGTGTTGAAAATAATTTTACATATAACTCACAGAGCAGTTCATCCTCCAAATGGGTGCAGGCATTCTCAGCCACTTGCATGGTGTGAAGGACTGGGGACTCTGCAAAATAATGAAATATATTTTCCCCATTTCTTTCCTTACTGAGCAGTGTCTTAAACAAAACACTATCCTTACTGCATTCCTACGTCATTCAGAGAGATCTGGAAAGCCATTTTTCCTGGCCAAACACTTATAGCTTGTTCTTCTCCCCAAAAGTAACATTAGACTCAATCCAATCTCTCTGTCAACTATCAAGCTTTCCTTTTTCTTGGAGCTGCAACCCTCCCCTCCTTCTAAAATAACATTTATCCTACCTTCCCTTCTTCCTGCTCTATTTCTTTGGCACAACTACTATCACTGCTAATCCTTCCCTTCTCACCTATTTTATCTAACCCTGAAATTCCCCAGATGTATACGGTTATAGTTCCCATTGGCCTCATCTGGCATGATGACAATGCCAGCTAAACCACCCACAATCCCTACATCATATTCTTAACTTTTCTACTTTTCAAAGTCTACTGCATCTCCCACCCAGATACAAATCCACTATATTAGATTATACACCCAAATAGCAACACCCCACTCTCTCTGCACTTTTTACTAAGAAAAAATTGATTCCCCAAATTAGCCATATCAGTAACTCATTTCTCCAAAAAAGCTTAGTTACTTATCAAAGATTTAGGGCCAGGATTGGTCATTGCCAGGCACCTGCTGAGATCAAAAGGCACAGTCCCCTATCTCCTCTGCCATCCTGCGATCCAATGCTGACCGCTTCTCAAATGCTACCCTTTTCTTCCTCTGCCTCCTCTCCAGCATGCAAAATCCTAGAGTCTTTATCCCCAAACTACTGTTCTCAGATGTCTCATCACTCCTGCCCATGCTAGGAGGGGATGATGGGGTTTGTACTCCACATGCATAGAACTGGAGACAGTTGCTCTCTCTACTCTACGTGCAGCACCCGCAACATCAGTCAAGCAAACAATAAGGGTCTCCACACCCCAAGGCAGGCAGCTGTTGCTACTCCTCTCCTACCCGCAACATCCAAGAACAGGCCTCCTCGCCACCCCGCTCCTTCCCCGTATCCGAATAGAAAAAAAACTCCAACAAATTGCGACGTATGGCTCTTCTTGCCCAGTCTGGGCGGAGCTGGATCGATGTCGATGCGGCAGCTCCTCCTGGCGGGCGCCCTCGTGGAAAGGATCGGGGCGTACCGGTGGATAGGGGACGCGCACGCGCACTCCGAGGAGGGGGGAAGCCAAGGCGACGCTCCTGCGCCGTTCTTTTCCCTCCCCATTCCATCCAGCGAACCCGTCCTCCGCGCGACACCGGATCAACGTCAACAGTCCATCGTTGTAATCAAAGGGTGCCACCACTTTCCTTCTGTGACAGCTCAGCCTCGCCAATCAAAACTCACTTGAGGGCGGCTGTAGCCAATGAGATGTCACCGGAGTTTTTTTGTTCGGCCAATAAGGTACTTTATCGATATCAAGATCGGCCTGGTAAGGCGGGTGTTTGAGTTGCATCCAATGGATTCACTAAACTTTAATAAGGGGGAATGGTAGAGCATTGTTTCTCTGGAAGGAGCACATAGAAATGTTGGGACCAATGGAAGACAAGAGTCGATAAAGGGAGGGAGCCGTGTGCTTTTTACTGTATAGTAGTAGGAAAGAGCTTTTTTTAAAACAGTAGGTGGCGCTACTCGCACGACGTTGTTTGAGCTCAGAAGCTAATCTTACATTTGGAAGGACAGCCGTGAAATCACAGGAATGTTAAAGAAAGCAACAGCAAAGCAGTTCTGTATTTTCCATGTAGAGCAGAGCTGGGTTGCTGTTGAAGAAGATAAGTTAAAAATAATAGCATCTCAGGGGCTTGGCTAGAGAGAACAGGTCTGGCAAACGTTTGCCTATGTTTGCACAATATACTAATCAACTCAGACTGATCAGTGGAAGTATTGCAAAAAATGTTGTGCAATTGGTGACAAGGCCCCTAGGGCTAACAAAAATCCATTTGTTTGCACCTCACATAAAAACAAAATTCCTGATTAGGCTGTACTCAGATGTTGCTATAAGATGGAAAGCCAAATTATCTTGCTTCCATTCCGCTGCTGTCTTCACTTAATAATCATGGTTGGGTCTAGGAAATCCATCACTGAGCAATATGGCTGTTAAATGAAACATCATGCAACTGCAACAGACTTACAATCACTTCTGCTGTGGTCATTAAGCCAATCATCCATAGGCTGTAAGCAAGACATCACGTGACCATGACTTGCAGTTTTACTACTGGCTTCATTCTGTCATTGGCTTGTCAGAAGCCTGTTGTGAAGCATGCAGATGGCAGTCATGCCCATGTGACACTGCAACAGTGGTAAATCCCCACTGAATCTGGATAATGACCGTGAGGACGCTGCAATAGTCGTACTGCAAGGCCCAGTTGTAAGTCTCCTTTTTTAGTGCTGTCATAACTCTGAACAATCACTAATGGGACTGTTCTTAAGTGAGGATTACCTTGAATTTGGAAATGAAGGCTTCAGAAGGTGCAATAACACAATGTTGGTGGTGATGGGGAAGTGGCACAGGAGACGGAGTCTAGGAGCCAAAAAGCAAGAGGATTCGAGATTTCCTACAAATGGAAATATGGACCAGATTCTGCAGAGTACCAAATCAAACTCGGAAAGGGCCCTTGTTGCCACTGGGGTTGCCGCTCACCTTCCTCCTCTGCCAACTTTGCTTTCTTGCTAGTCACCAGGCCAGCTTCGGCAGCACCAATCTTGTCTAAGCTGCCCTGCTGATTGTCAGAGGTCCTGAGGCGCCCTGGCTCCAAGCCATCTAGGTCAATGAATGTGCGGACAAGCTGTTGCTGGGCTCCTCCTGGGGTTTCCATAGGTTCCGGATCCAGGCTGCTGTAGGGCAGTGGCATGGCTGGAGATGCATCCTGTTGGGCTGGGGGGGGGGCAAGAGGATTGCCAAAGGACCCTCCAGATGCTGTGGGCTGGGTGCCGTTCCTTGTAGGTCTAGGTGTGACTGCAGCCCAGGAAAATTTTCCACACTTCCTCTGCCCATCTCTTCCTCTTCCTCCAGCTGAAAGCCTTGAGTCTCGTCGCAACGATTGCGCCGCTGCTACTGCTCGTAGCTGCAGGCCTCGAGGCTCATCACACCAATTGTACCGCTACCGCTGTACATACTACATGGCTCTTCACACAGCTTGTGCTGCACAATGAGCCTCACAGCCTCCTGCAGCAAATGGCGGCACTGGACGAGTGATGCAAAGAGCCACATGGGGTCTTTCCACAAGCAATGGTGCAATGTGCAATGTGGCATGAGGCCACAAGCAGCTGCAGAATAACTCTGGCAGTGGCACAACAGGTATTGGGGCAGCAACGGTCCTAAGGTAAGTGGGTACAGGGAGCCTGGAGCAGCTCCACCCCCCACCCCCGCCCTAGCTTGACTTTTACATGTGCATCAGTATTATTTAATATTTTTTCATTAATATTTTAAAACTTTTTCTTATAACAATCTAGTTTTGTGTACCTTTTTATTATTTAGGTATTAAATGCATGAAATAATAAACTACCTTTTGGTATATCGTTTTTTTATACTTAAAACAGTCATTAGGGCAGAGAACCAGTTGTTAAATTATTTGAATCCCACCACTCAATATAAGCCAGATGGAATTATATCAGTGTTTCTCAATCCAGAAGGGATTCTAGGACAGAGCTTTTCAACCAGTGGTACGGGTACCACCTGTGGTACATTGGCACCTGGCAGGTGGTATGCGACCATCCTAGAAAAGTGGTAGCGGGGGAGGGGAATGAGCTGAACCAGTGGCAGCACCGCACAAGCCTGAGTGAGAGATGGCTGGAGCTGCAGGGCAGTCAGGGCTCAGTGGAAGCACCAGGATCAGCACTTCTTCGGGACTGTCAGGGCTTAGCAGAAGCGCCAAGATCAGCGCCAGGCTCCAGCTGGAGCTCGGCGCTGATCCTGGCGCTTCTGCTGAGCCCAGAAGAAGCACTGATCAGCTGGAATGTTGCAGCCTCTCCAGGGTCTTGTGATTTATATTCAGATGCTTGGCAACTGATTCATATTTATGACAGTCACAGTGTCCCAAGGTCATGTGAAGTGACCAAAAACTGCTGCAACCACCCAGCAGACGGGGGGGGGGGGAATAAAAACCAAACACCCCCACCCCACCCCGACTGCCAATCCTCAACAGAAATACAACAATGGAAACCTCCGACATGAAGAAGAGCGCCACAGGGCGGGCAGGAGGTGTCTTGCTTGGCTGTGGCTTGGGGGGCACTTTTTTCAGTTCCATGGTAACTTCGAACAGTCACCAAGCAAACTGTTGTAAGTCGAGGACTACCTGTACTTCATCACTTTTTTCCTTTTTTTATCATCAGTTTTTGACACCTTTCTAGGCTCCTGGTGTTACTCAGATATTGCCATATCCTAAAAGTGGTACAATGGGTGAAAAGATTGAAAAGCCCTGCTCTAGGACACTTTGATCTATATCTTCTCAACAGCGTCTCTGCAAATTCGGTGAAAAAAGCAGAAAAAAAAGAAGCTTAATTAGAAACTTTGTTTTTTTAAATTAATAATGTAATTCTTCTTCACAAGAATTATGAAATCACAGACCCAAAGCCATAGGCTACATTAAAGCTGAAAAGATGGGATAACTCTGACATCTAGTGGACAAATGGACGTATTGTAGTCTGCTGAAAAGACAACGAAGCAACCCATTTGTTTGAGAAGATGAGACTGAATACAGAATAGATATAGAATTACAGAGTTGGAAAGGACCTTGGAGGTCTTCTAGTCCAACCCCTATTCGATACGTTATGGCATTATGGACAAATGGCTATCCAATCTCTTTTTAAAAACCTCTAGTGAAGGAGCACCCATTATTACTGGAGGAAACTATTCCAGTGATTACAGGTGTAGCACACCCCTGAAGGGACTGCTAAAGTCTGGGCCCTCCTGGCCTCCTCTTTGGCTGGTTGCCAACCCAAGGGGTCTCTCATGTTGGCACCTCTGCCTGACAGGACATGTAGCACAGTGATGTTCAGTCATGGTGGCAGCTACGCACATAGGGCAGTGATGGTCGATCTCTTTCGACGGTAACTCATGTGGGATGATGATAGTTGACCTCAGGCAGCGGAGACAATGGTAGTCAAGTCCTGGTAGCAGCAGCTGGTATACAACAGTAGTAGTCGGTCCCTAGTAACAGCAACCTGCTTAGGACGATGTTAGCCAGTAGCAAATTGCCTATGAAAATGTTAGTCTCTGGTAACAGCAACTTGCCTAGGGCGATGGTAATCAGTCTCTGGTGATGGCAACTTGCCTAAGACAATGTTAGTCAGTCTCTGGTGACAGCAACTTGCCTAAGACAATGTTAGTCAGTCTCTGGTGACAGCAACTTGCCTAAGACAATGTTAGTCTTTTGTAACAACGACTTGCCTAGAGTGATGGTAATCAGTCTCTGGTGACAGCAACTTGCCTAAGACAATGGGCAAAAAATATATATTTCCTCAAAAGGATTTTAAGAGCAGAAACCAACCATGCCCCCAAGTCTCTATCCCAAGCAGAAGCCAGCTCTATACAAATGCAGATGTAAACCACCAGGAAAGTTGGAGCTAGAAGCTTAGGAAGACAAAGACACCTAAAATCTGCATACCCTACCCAAACTCTAGGAGTCATTAGCCCCAGCACCAGGGCAGCAGGATATATAATAGGATTAACCCACCACCAAGAAAACCAGAAAGGCACACCCAGACTCAGGTCAGAATACATGACACAGGAAATACAAAGCCTGAAACAGGAACAGGAAAACTACTCCAAACAAAAGGTTCGAGAGGGGTATAAAAACCTACTACCCACATGTGCTCTGTCCTTTTTTCTCTTCTCTTTCCTGCCAGAACCATCTTGCTGTCTGGCTCTTCAATAAACTGCAGCTCTCTTTCTAAAGCAGTCGCCATGTTATTTATTTATCCCCAGCTTGGATGAACCAGGATGAAGACTTTTCCTTCAACAGCTCCAACAAGAGAGAAAAAATAAAAGTCCCCAACCTACCCTCTCTCCCTCTCTTTGTCTGGCCTTCTTACTCTATCTCTTCACTCAGCTAGCTCTGGATGGCAGGCTCCATTAAGCTAAGCTCTCTCTCCTTTTCCTCCACTGACTTTGCCTGATCTCCTGCCAAAAAAAACCCTCCCTCTGGTCAATTTCTCTCCCCCTTCCCGTCAACTTTATTCTCCTTTTTCTTCCCTCCTCAGAGCCCCGCCCCGCCGCCAGACCCACAGCAGCTGCCGGAGTTCCTCATTTCCCTGCTGGATCCAGCAAAACCTCTCAGCTGGCCCCATTCTCACCCCAGCTCCAGTACACAGGTAATCCCCAAGTTACTTAACGCTCATTCAAAGTTATATGATAAGCGCCCCCTAGTGCTTACAAGCAAGTCCCGAAATTACAAATATAGCAGCACCATGGCAGTTGTTCGCCATTACAAGTGGCCGCAGTGGCTCTGCAACATTCATCCTGGTTATTCCCTCCCCACCACCGCCCCAGGTCTCCCTAGGCACCAGGCCTTCAATAGTCACCTTGCGAAGATCGAGATCCTTCGCTTTCTTGGCTGCTCCAAGCCTTCAGTGCGTTCGCAGAGAATGGAGGCCTAAAATAATGCAAGATCAAGTGAGATCCGTGGGGCAGGATCTCACGCTACTGATCTTGCATGATTTCATGACACCTTCGGCCTCTGTTCTCTGCAACAGAGAATGGAACTGAAGCCAGGGGATGCTTCTATTGCCTCCGGAGGCTGGATCAGGGTTTAGAGGCCATTTCCAGGCTGCTGAGGCCTGGATCTGTGGCTGGGGAATGCTTCAGCCCCTGCGGCCCGACCCAGACTCTGGAATCATTTTCCAGGCTGCTGCTGCCCGGATCTGTGACTGGGGAATGCTTCCGTTCCCTCCCCCCCGCAGCCTGATCTGGGCTCCGGAGGTGTTTTCCAGGCCCAATCGGAGCTCCAGAGGCGTTTTTGCTGTCCTCAAATCTGGGTGGCAGTAGCTGGGAAAAGGCTTCCAGAGCCTGGATTGGGCTGTGGGGTGGGCATGGAAGCTTTTGCTGGCCTCAGATCCAGGGGGCAGCAGCCTGGAAAAGGTTTCCGGAGCCTGTATTGGGCCACGGGGAGGGTGTGGAAGTGTTTCCTGACCTCAGATCTGGGCTGCAGCGGTCTGGAAAAGGCCTCCAGAGCCCGGATTGAGCCTCGCGGCTGTGAAAACATTCCCTGGCCTCAGATCTGGGTGGCAGTGGCCTGGAAAAGGCCTCCAGAGCCTGTATCGGGCTGCAGGCGCTGCAAAAGCATTCCCTTGCCTCAGATCCGGGTGGCAGCAACCATGGCATAGAGGAGACAGATCTTTTCCAGCTGAGTCTGGTGTGGCAGGAAGGGGAAGCATGCGGTATCTTAGTGGGTTGGGGAGGCCTTGGGGGCATGTTCCATCATGGCCTTCCCCACCCTGAGATACCTCATGTTCACTTAATGAGCCGCATGTGTTTTAACGAGCAAGGTACGAGGTTCATTCTAAGAGTTTTTGAGTTATGAATGGAAGTGCAAGCTCCATTACACTCGCAATTCGAGGATCACCTGTAATTGTTCTCACTGATAGGAAATTTCTCCTTAACTTTAGTTGCCTTCTCTTTAATAATCTTCCATTCGTAATTTCTTGTCTGGCCCTCAGATGCTTTGGAGAATAGGTCGACTCCCCCTCTTTTCTATGACTGCTCCTCAAGTACTGGTCACTTACCATATCACCCCTAATCCTTCTCTTCTTTAGATTAGATTAGACCTAGGCATTTTATAGACTACATTGGCGAGGAGGTGGGGCATTGGGTCAGTGTCAGCAGGAATTGGCAGGAGGCAGGGCATTGGATGCCCTCTACAATAGTCTCAGTTTTTCATGTGGCCCCTTGGGAAAATTAATTGCCCACCCCTGGACTAGACATACCTAGTTTCTGCAACTGTTTACTGTACAGTTTAGTCTCCCCTCCCCTGATTGCTCTTTGAACTCTTTCTAGAGCAGTGGTTCTCAACCTTCCTAATGCCGCGACCCTTTAATACAGTTCCTCATGTTGTGGTGATCCCCAACCCTCCATCCAGCTGGTCAGGCGGGTATCAAAAACTTGACCAAAAAAAAAGAGGAAAAAATGGGAATGTATAGGTAGTCCTTGACTTACAACAATTCGCTTAGTGACTGTTTGAAGTTACAACAGCCCTGAAAAAGTGAATTATGATCATTTTTTACACTTATGATTGTTGCAGCATCCCCAGGGTCATGTGATTTACATTCGGATGCTTGACAACTGATTCATACTTATGATGTTCACAGTGTACCAGGGTCATGTGATCAATGGCCAGGGGGCGTGGCCAGCTGATCACTCAGGTTGCAGAGTGCCTGTGGGGGGGGGGGGAATCTGTGGGTCTCTGGGATGGGACTGGGGTGGGTGCCTGCCTTCCTTCCCTCCCTTCTCTCCCCTTGTCCCTTCCTTCCTTCTTTTCTTCCTTTCCTTCACCTCCCTCTTAGTCTCTTCCTCCTTCCTCTCTCCCATTGTCCTTTCCTTCCTTCCTTTTTTCCTTCCTTTCCTTCACCTCCTTCTTAGTCTCTTCCTCCTTCCCCCCTCTCTCCCATTGTCCTTTCCTTCCTTCCTTTCCTTCATCTCCTTCTTAGTCTCTTCCTCCTTCCCTCCCTCTTTCCCATTAATCCTTTCCTTCCTTCTTTCCTTCCTTTCCTTCACCTCTTTCTTAGTCTCTTCCTCCTTCCCACCTTCTCCCATTGTCCCTTCCTTCCTTCCTTTCCTTCCCCTCCCTTAGTCTCTTCCTCCTTCCCTCCCTCCCACTGTCCCTTCCTTCCTTCTTTCCACCTCCTTCTTAGTCTCTTCCTCCTTCCCACCTTCTCCCATTGTCCCTTCCTTCCTTCTTTCCTTCCTTTCCTTCACCTCCTTCTTAGTCTCTTCCTCCTTCCCACCTTCTCCCATTGTCCCTTCCTTCTTTCTTTCCTTCCTTTCCTTCACCTCCTTCTTAGTCTCTTCCTCCTTCCCTCCCTCTCTCCCATTGTCCCTTCCTTCCTTCTTTCCTTCCTTTCCTTCCTCCCCCTCTTAGTCTCTTCCTCCTTCCCTCCCTCTCTCCCCTCGTCCCTTCCTTCCTTCCTTTCTTCCTTCCTTCCCTCCCTCTTTGTCCCTTCCTCCCTTCCTCCCTTCCTTCCCTCTCTCATTGTTCCTTACTTCCCTCCCTCTTCGTCCCTTCCTTCCTCCCCCCCCTCCGTGCCCAGGAAGGGACAAGGGGAGGGGGATAGGCTGCCAGTGTGGCTGGGGGCTTTGCTGCCGGCAAACCTGCCTTTGCACAGGCAGAGACAGGAGAGCTCCACCCAGCTCACTTGCTCAGCTTCGCCAAAAGACATGCCGCTTGCTAAGTTAGCAGAAGCTCCAGGATCAGCGCCGAGCTACAGCTGATTCGTGCTTCTGCTAAATTAGCAAGCGCATGTTTTCTAGTGAGCAAGTTTGCTGGGCAGGAGCCAAGGAGAGCAGCTACAGCTCCAGAAGCACGGATCAGCTGTAGAGGCTTGCCCCGATCCTGGACAAGAGGGAAGGAAGGGAGGGAGGGAGGGACAAGGGGGGAGAGGGAGGGAAGGAGGGACAAAGAGGGAGGCAAAAGTAAGGAAGGAAAGAAGGAAGGGACAATGGGAGAGGGAGGGAAGGAGGAAGAGACCAAGAGGGAGAGAAGGAAAGGAAGTTCCAGCCAGGAGAGGCTTGCCAGCCTGGCTACCAAGAAACAGAAGAGCGCAAAGCCAAGGAGAAGAAGGTAGCGGTTTCCTCCCAAAGAGGGCTCCTTTTCTCCACCCCTTCCCTGGGTTTGTGGGGAATTTCTCATCACCAATGCTGGCAGGTGCTGCTTCGAGCCCGCCGCGAGCTTTCTCACCCCCTTTGGTTTCCCCCCCCCCCGCTTTTGTGAGGATTGTGGTGCCCTTGGGAAGCCGATCGTGCTTTGAAGCTTAGGAGAGGAAGAAGAGTCCCTTCCTCCTTCCCTCCCTCTTGCGTCAGCCGGCGCAAATTTGGGGGTCACCAGCTGACGGGCGCAGGAGTTGGGTGCTGCAGTGGCCTCCCTTTCGCTGACCTGTGTGCACAAGAAGAAGTCAATCCGGTTGCTGCACAATGAGTCTCTGGGGAGGGCGGGGCCTTGCTCTGTGCCTGCGCTCTTCATGTGCCCCCTGCAGGGCACATTTGGTAGAGTTCGTGCAGACTGCTGCCAAGCAGCATATTTTCCACAAACAAGTGAGGTGGAGCGGAGGGGGGGGGAGGGAGAGAAGGCGGTTGACAAGCCCTGCCTAAGACCATCGGAAATATGTGTTTTCCGATAGGCGACCCTTGTGAAAGGCTCGTGCGACCTCCAAAAGGGTCACGACCCACAGGTTGAGAACTGCTGTTCTGGAGTCTCAACCTCTTTTTTTTTTTATCATGGTGACTAGAACTGGATACAGTATTCCAAGTGTGGTCTTACCAGTGCAATATAAAGCAGAACTAACACTTATCATGATCTTGATACTATCCTTCTGTTGATGCAGCCTAGGGCACTGCACACACAGCTGGAGGACACTGCTGCACCATATAGATTGTGCAAATACACCATACATTTTTAAAACTGGATGAAGTGCACACTTAACTTCAAATACTATGTTGTAATGACAGCTGCATTTCTATCTATAATCACACTTGCACTTAAAAAAAGATGTAAAACATTCAGAGTAATATTCAACTGGATGATGTCTAGGTGGGTTGTGTAGGTTACTGTTTGTATTATGGGAGTGTTTAATTTGTCATCCATTTTGCTGCAAAGTGACCCCACCTTTAGTGAGAAAAATGTGATTGAATGCTAACCCTTGTTTGTTTATTCCAAAGGATTGTATGGTTAAATTCCAAATAAATGATTTTATGTTTGCAATATCAACTGGCCTCAGCACAAATCTAAAAACTTACTTTTGACTTGGAGAAAGGGAAAATGCTGAACTGAATGATAGGTTGTATCAAGAAAGGATAATGTGGATAGATCAGATTGAAACAGTTGAATGAGCATCTCGGGAAAATAGAAAACCTTTGTGATATCCTCCTTTATAGTAATTGAGATTAACATGTAAAAAGCATGCAAATAAAAATCTTAAGGCTACCTTTTCAGGGCCACTTAACCAATATTTTATTGTTTATTTATTCATGACTGTTGTTTTCTAGTACTGAAATCAAGAATAAAGAAAAGCTGAAGCAACCAACTTTGGGGAAATGGAGTTAAGGAAGGCAAGAGACCAAGTTGTTTTCTCCTCTTTCTCCTTTGCTTGCTTGTCCTCACTTACTTGAAACTTCATTTTGCTTAGCTTTTTCATGGAAGGAAGGGTGTACGTCTGCTACTGAGTTTCCATTTACATTGCTTCAAAATTGACTCTGAATTTGGATTCCTGCTGGTTGCTATTGGGGTAGATGGGATTGTTCTGTTTGATTCTTGCTGTTTGATCACTGATTTCTTTTTACATCTAGTATTCTCAATTGAATACTGCAAAATGCCCTGGGGATGTTAGGAGATTTTAGATAAACTAGTAAACACAAATGGAAAAAAATAATTGTATCTATAAAAGAAAGACAGTTTTTAAGGTCTACAGGACTCGGAGTTTGCAGGAGTTTAAAATAAGAGAGGCAGGCTGGCTGCACTTTTAAAAACTGTTTTTTTTAGGGTCCAAAGACTACAGGACTGGGGATGGTCACATAATGACGACATTGGAAGAATCTGGAATGCTGCCTTTAACTTGATTTGTTCATTTTTGTTTTTACTTTCAAAGATGCAATAAACATCTTGAAGATTTAACACATTTTTTAAAAAAAACATTAAAAAGTTCAGTGGACAGTTTATCCTTGTTATTACAACTATTTGTGTATTGTTGGAGCATTCAAAGTACTTCACACAGTTTTTCTGGATTCAATCCTTATAACTGCAGGAGACTAGAATGAATGATATTTTTGCTTAGCAAGAAAAGAAAATTTTTAAAAAGAGTGAAAAATGTATCCTTTTCTAATTTTTATGTTTATGTTTTAACAGTTCTATAAATCTTCATTTCCCAAAGTTTTCCAGTATCATTACTCTTTTCCATTTATAATTGTTGTTCTGTCTATTAAAAATCCGTTATTCAAAGAATGAATGAAGTTATTAGCATATACCCAGCTTCTCCAATGTATTGCTCTTACAATATTAATTTGCACATAAAGACTCTCCAACGAAGGTCCGAGTTTTTATTTTTAAAATTATGTTATTAAAAAAGCAGGAAATGACGCACTACAAAGCAGGGGTAGCTTTTGTGTTATCTTTAAGAATAAATGTATTTTGGATGACTTTGTCTGGAGTTTTGATTCATCAGCCCCAAAAATAAATAAAGGAGATAGAAACATTCTGGAAATGTAATTAGGTGTTAAAGAATATACTTAGCAATTTATGGTCTTCTAAGTGAGTGTCTTGGGACCGGCTATATCTATCAATATCTACTATATCATTTTGAGAGAATGCCACTAACTCAAAAGGCTGGGGTCTCCATTATCTTTATCTTGCACTGTATACACTTTTCTCTTCTATTGGAATATATAAACACGCACTCACATGTGCACACACATACACAATATTCAATATTCAATGTGAATAATTGTGTTTGATTGTGGACGTGCAGTTTGTCATTCTTCCACCAAGTGGCAAAACTGTTCCATTTTTTTAATCTCTTCCCCTTGTCGTTAAGAAAAATAACCATCTGCAAAAATTCATTCTCTTTATCACATGCTGACAGAGCTTCAGAGGACAAATAAAACACTGAAACAAAGCATGTTGTGTTTAGGTTATAAATTCTGATTATTTAGAATGAAAAGTGACTTTCAACTATTATCCAGTTAAATTGTGAGCAAATCCAACTGACTGATGCTCATAACATCTGTGTATATTAAAGACAATCAATTAAGGAATTAACAGTTAACATATTTCTGAATGTTGATTGAGTAAATGCAAGAGACACTATCTTAGAAGACTGATTCCATGTTGTGTGAGAATTTCCTGGGCAATATTATTTGATGGAGAAAAACAGAGGGATGTGGTTATTATCTTCAGGCCTCACTTTTGACCTTTCTGGAAGCTTCTGCTTGTCTTCTGTCAAAACAAGACACTGAATTAGATGGACCTTTGATGTCAGACACCAGAGCTCTTCTTTTCATCGTAAAATGAAAGCTGTCAATAACAATCAACAGATATTAGAGCCAGTGGTCTCCATTTCAGAATCTTTTAATAAAAAGTTGATCAAGCAACCAGTAAAAAGAATATAATTAATAATGTGCAGGAGGTGTTGATCTGGGAATGAGCAATTATGAAGAACTCTGGAATGTTTTATTTTCCTCCAGAACATGCTGATTGTTTTTCTGGATTTTGCCAAACTGGAGGTGGTTTGATGGAGCATTGTGGTTCAAGAGGAGGTTCTCCTAAATATTCTGTCCTCAAGATTACCAAATTTTGCATATCCCTAATTGTAATAAGCTGGTATGGTGCAGTAATTTTGATGTGGATTGAATTCACTTTCCTCTCAGCCAAGGAAACACACTTGGGGGTGGGGGAATGTGAATTTGCCCAATCTATTTTAGCCAAGTTTACCTTATTGTCAGATAGATAAAAGTGGGGAACAATGTAGCATTGGAAAAATGCTAAGACAGAAATCTATCAAACCAATAAATGTTATGTTCACATAGGAAGTATATGTCAGACCCATGACTTGTAGAATTTATTACCATAACTTGATAGGATTGCACTGCAATTATATTACCAGCAGTAAACAACAGATACCCTTATTATTTGCACATCCATGTTGCAAGTCACAGTTGCCACACCAATGGAAATACAAATTATTAACATCATTAAAAATGTGGCTGAAGTGATATGCTTTGTGCTGATGTTAGTTTTCATTGCGGAAAGTTTTCAAAGCTGAAGAACATGCAGAAGAATGGTCTTCCCCTTGGAATTTGATGTGACAAGTTATTGCATCAGCATGCAACCAGATGCTTTGGCTGCCTACATGAAGTGGTCATAGATACTTAAACCTAGTGCTTAAGGTACCAGGCTAGAAACGGAGAGACCATGAATTATAGTCCTGCCTTAGGCATGAAGTTAGCTGGCTGATCTTGAGCCAGTTACTTTCTCTCAGCCCTAGATAGGAAGCAATGGCAAATCAGTTTAAAAAAAAAAAACTTTCAAGAGAACTGCAGGGACTAGTCCAAGCATTTGACAGGAATCAAAAACTAATTTAAGTCACAAAAATTAAAAAATAGATGATTCTAAATAAGTTTTGAAGTTACCTGGAGCATCATGCACTAAGCAAGTATGTCTGGATGAAAGCCTCAGCTCTATTGTTTTGAGATTTTAGTTAGGAAACAGGAAGGAAGGAAGAAAAGAAAGAAAGAGAAAGAAAGAAAAAGAAAGGAAGGAAGGTCATATAAATATTTCTAATTAAATATGGTTACATTTTTCAGTGGTTTGCATAGAGACATTCATTTAATTTTTACACAGTTTGTACCTACAGACACATTTATGTTTTGTTATTTTATTTCCATTCCCCCCTCTTCTCTCTGTCTCTTTCCCCCACTCCCTCCCCCCACTCCCCCCATTCTCTTTCTCCCTTTTCTGTCCCATTAGTGATTTGGTTCCTAAATAGTTTCTTCATTCCTGTAAGGGGAGGCTTTGATTTCCATCATTTCTACTCTTCTTTGGTTGCCCCAACCATTTTTGAAAGGTGAAATGCCCAATGAGCACACAGAGAGTCTCTAATTTTTTCATTCCAGTTCTTTCCAGCCAATTAGTTTCATAGCTTCCTTTTTTTGCTCCCTCCTGGATTGTCTTTGACATAACTTGTATGACTGTGGATCTGATGCTATGGAAATTCTCTAACAGCCAATAGTAGACTCATGGAAGCTTACAAAGAATCTGGAGGAATCACTCTGCATGAGAATATCTCTCATAAGTTTTCATGTGGGAGAAGATTGCAAAATGCATGTGCTAAGGCATGTTCTCTTTGAGATCTCTGTGGGATATAAATTCATAACCAACCATAGTTTGAAAATAGTTAATTCTTCAGTGATGCTCTACTGCTTCCCCAGCTGTGAATTGGCTATTCTACAATGCAGAGAGTTTTCTGGGGCCCTAGTGCCATTTCCCTATATCAGAAAAATAAAGCAGTGGTGGCACCCAAGAGCGCCTAGGACTGAGAGTGGCCAATAAGCACCAACTGCCTTTACTCCCAAAAATTGCCCAACTGTGTCTCAAGTGCATAATCAAGTACCATTATTCAGCAGTGAGTTAGCACAGAAACAGGGAAGTAAAGTAGAAATCAGCGGTGGAGATAGCAAATATCATGCTGATATAGAGCAGCCATGATGGTCTTGAAAAAGATATTCAAATAATGCAATCTGTCTGTATCTATAAATATCACAATTGTGCAAGCCACTGGTATTCCCTGATAAGTGATAGTTCAACTTTGAAGAAACTGGACATGAAGAGTATTGATACCTTTGGACTTTGGCATTGGAAAAGACTACTGAGAATACTGTAGACAGGCAAGAAAGCAAATCAATTGATCATTGAACAAATCAACCCAGAGTTCTCACTTGAGGCACAAATGGTCAGGCTCAAATGAGTCTACTTTGGACATGTTAAGTGAAGATTCATTTCTCTGGAAAAGGCTGTATTGCTGGGAAAGGTGGAAGAAAAGAGAAGAAGATGACCAGGAACAAGTGATTGGCCTCAGTTACAGTGCACAATTGGAAGACCAAATCAAGGATAGATTGCCATGGAGACTGACGATCTATCTATCTATCTCTCTCTCTATCTATCTATCTATCTATCTATCTATCTATCTATCTATCAGGAATAAAAAATGATCTGTTGGCATATAATCATAATTTTTTACTGATTTAAGGATCGGTGGAGAGCTCTTTAACAAGAGTGATTATATGCAGGATGTAGTTTGAAAGTTTGTCCACATTGTGAAGTATTATAAAGCTTAATCCTGACTTTGTTTCCCCAACCTAGTCATTGAATCTCCCCCCCCCCAAAAAAAGGCTACAGATATCCTTCCTGCTTATGCTAGAAACAAAAAAAATCCATCTTTGGATTTGCAAAGAAATGGAACTCTTTGGCTGTTTTGTGCTTTCTTTATTGTTGTAAAATATGCTACACATTGGGCATTTTCTAGTGGGAGAATAACTTTAGAGCAATTTTCCCAATCTGGCACTCTCTTAGATCTGTTGCAGATGTACTTCCAGCTGAAAAGCCCCAAAATGTTTGGGTAATTGTGAGGCTGAAGAAGATTTATTTAGAGGATATTCTTGATAGGAGATTAGAAAGGTCAGAGAAAGTACAAAAGTTCATTCTATAAATTTAAGTGGCAGAGGGGGAACAAATCTTTAATTACTCCCAGGACCGCCAAGTTTAGCAAAATTGTCCTTCTCTTTTGATTATCTAAGATGGCAGGAGAGATTTATAATAGGTCATATAAGCGAAGCTTGAAATAATTCAAGAGGTGGCTTATGAGTTCATAATAGACAATACTGACATTACTTAATTATTTGTTCTGAGCTAAAATAAGAAAATAGTCTAGACTAGGCTGAGATGGATGATTGGCCCCACCCCATGTTCTTTTCTTATCCTAAAATGGACCTTACATTTAATTGCTAAAACTGTTTAAAAATCTGTTCTTCTTCACCCCATACCAGTAATATGATAATAATTATTGAACTCCTATTAGAAAGCTTCAGTAAAATCTTAATCCAGGCCCAGTGTTTAATTTTTACTCATTGCATTGTTACTCTTTGAGTGGATTCATACCACACATTTGAGTTAGTTATTGAATTAAGCAGTTTTCTGGGTTTTACCCAATGCATGGAATCATAAATGAATAAAAGGAGATAGATTAATGCAACATGCTTAGCAATATTAAAACTGCCCAAGCTTTGTATGCTAAGGAAATGCAACTGCAAATTCTTTAACCTGATGCGGGAAATATGTTATGTTAATTCAGCAAGGCTCAAAGTGGTTATTTAAGGAAGGCAATTAGGAAATAAAGACATTCTAATGGTGAAAACTAGAATAGAGATTAAGTATATGGCTTGTTATATCAACACACAGCTCTTACTACTACATTCATTCCTAGCACACCCCTGATAAGTTCTGATGATTCTGCCTTGATAATAAAACAGCCATGATTTGAACACATCTCAAGCCCTTTCAGTTCCTTCCTAATGCCCATTTTGTTGTTTGGGGTTCTTCCTTGTACAACCTGCTGTTGCCAAAGATTATAGACATGTGCAGTAAAATGGAATAGAAATTGTATTCTCCAGGACAAGCTCGTATGAACAAAGGAAAGAGAGCTGATCTAGAATTTGGCCTGCAAAGTAGGATTAAGAAAATTCCTGGAAAATAGCTGCTCATCCCTGTTGATAACCCTAAATCTAAAGGGCCAGTTCATGATCAGATTAAGCATCAGGCAATGTAGGACTG